CACCACCACCCTCCCCCTCCCCAACGTCTCCTCCACCAAGCCCTCCACCTCCGCCGTCCCCACCCTCCCATACCAAATCCCACACCCAGCCAACGCATTCCCCGCCATCCCCGGCGGAACGTAAAAAATCACGTTGCCGGCATACTTGTGGCCGCCAATGTGACTAATGAGTGCGACGTCGGCGGTCCAGCTGCGACGCGCGAGATGCGTGCGGAATGCAGATTGCAATATGGGACCGAGGGTGCCGCAGCGGGAGTCGCGGGAGGCGTGGCCGCAGATGAGAATGGTTGGGGTGGTGATGGGATCAGGTTTGGGAAGGGTAGAAGCGCATGCGGGGTTGCGGGTGAGATTTTGCTTTTGGGCCGGGGTGAGGGCGGTGTGGAAGGGGTGGAGGGAAGTTGGTTTGAGGTAGGCGGAGGCGAAGTTTGAGAGGGCGGGTTGGGAGTTGGGCATGTTTTTGAGTTTTTGGAAGCTCGGGAAGAGGAGGGCGGTTGTTGTGTTTTGGGGGTTGGATTTGGGGAGGGAGGAGGCGGTGAGGAGGATGTTTGTGAAGGGCTGTGTGGGAGGAGAGGGGGGGTTGATGTGTCAGCTTTTTCTTTTGGTATTGTTCTTAGGAGGCAAATTTTCTCTCTTCTTCGTGGAAGGGTGGAGGGTGGAGGGTGGAGGGTTAGGGGACGCACCTACATCGAATGCGACGCCGCCTTTGCCAATGATACCTTTGATCCCGTTGACGAAATCACCCGTCTCGCCTTCCTCCTGCGCAATATTGCTGGCCCAGTCCTCCTTTCCGGTACAAATAACAACGTGCTCAGCGTATGCAGCCATTGTGTTTAATAGCGGCGACTTGCGATCGATATCGAGGTCTGGCGGCATCGCAGCGCATTCGCAGGTTGGGGAGGGACATGTCTGCGTATACGGTATTGTTACTTGTCGGCGTGAGGCTATACTGGAGAATTTCCGGACTGTCTGTGTCGTTGGTGCCCGAGGGAGACGCGTGAGGAACATGGCGTGTGCGGAGATCCAGACGATTGGGAGGAGAGCTGGGGGAAGGTTGTATGTTGGATCGGAACGAGGTTCCGCAAGGATGACGGCTTTTGTTGTCGGCGATGACGGAGCTCGGTCTTCGGACTTGGTATCTTTGAGCCTAAATCCAACGACACGCGCCTTTTCTTTCCCTAGCTATAGGTCCAATAGCATACGTAATTGTCGTTCTGGCAAGTTTTGAGTAATTGCATCCTTCTCACAAACCAATGTAGACGAAGTCAGGCAACCGTTCCTCCCTGGAAAAAAAAGAAGATATGAAACCTCCGCTTATGCTTATGCCAAATGCCTTGCCCCAACGCCAGCGCTAACGATCAACAACCACCCCCATCGCCAACGCCAACGCCAATCGCAATGCATAAATATACAGTCTAAACATGACCTAAAAGTTCCTCCATCAAACTATTCCTCACTCAATCAATTCCATCACAACCCTACTTCCCCCCGAAAATCCTCTTGATATCCGCAAACTTGACCGGCTTAACAAGATACATATCCACACCCGCCTCCTGTGCATCCCTCTGATCTTGCGCACTTGCTAGCCCCGTAAGCGCCACAATGTGCGATTTCTGCAACCCACTTTTGACCTCAAACTGCCGAATCTGCCGCGTACTCGTCAACCCATCCATGACCGGCATACTCAGATCCATGAGCACAAAGTCAAACGGTCGTGTGGGAGGCGTGGTGGAGAGGGCTTCTGATTTGTAAATTTCCAGGGCTTCGAGGCCGTTGGTGGCTTCGGCGTAGCGTAAATTTTGTCGTTTGGCAAAGACGACGAGCAGCTTAAGATTGATAGCGTTGTCGTCGACGAGAAGGACGCGTGGGGAGAAGTATTCGCCCGTCTCGGTGCGGATGGGGGATGTGGGTGTTATGGTGGAAGGGAACGCGTGGGAGGTGGGTGGGGAATCCATGGTGGAGTTCATGGTGTACATTTTAGATACGTCTTGGGAAAAGGCGTCGCTGAGGCTGCGGGATATGTGGCTACCAGGTGGTGCGAGCGTTTGGAGTTGTTGCACGATTGCGGTGCTCAAGGAGCGGGAAATCGGGCGTTCAGTGTGGTGGGTGGAGGCGCGCTTCTGGCATTGGAGAAGGGCGCGGGCTAGCTTACGGGGACCGCAGCTAGAGTGGTGTTAGATCTGGTTTGTGTGGGTTCTGAATGGACTTACGGTTGCGTGACTATCTCTGCTACCCAACCCAGTGCTTCAATTTGTCGGCCTAGTCGTGACTCCACATTCGTCCTCTCTCCTGTATCTGTGCAGATGCAGACAACGGATAGCGGCGCTTTGTTGACTCTGCTTGCACCCGCCTTGTGTATCAACTGATCGAGGGACGGCGAGTCCGTGAGCAGAAATTCCACGTCGGAGATGCATGTGTCGGCGCCAGCGTCTTTGGTAATGTCCATTCCAAGCCCCCTGCAAGCATTCACCATGGAGGCCTTGGTCTTCAGCCCTCGTGCAATCGACCGTGTATCCGACTCACAGATGATGCTGACACGCGTTCCCTTCAAGACTTTGGGACAAGCAAGAAGATCCGGATTCTGGATAGTTTCGCTTTGCCCAGTTGGCAGCTGCACCGATACCTTGATGGTAGTACCCTCGCCAATGGCACTGCGAACTTCAATCTCTCCCTTAAGTGACTCCACGATCTGCTTGACAATACTTAGTCCCAAGCCAGTACCAGAACTGAAGGGGTCTTCTTGGCTGAAAGGCGAAAACAGTTTCGATTTCTGATAATCGACCGACATGCCTCGGCCAGAGTCTTGTACACTCAGAGAGAGCTTGACCGAATGAGGCGAACTGTTGGCCTGAACCATATCTATCGCAATGTAGCCAGAATCGGTATACTTGAGCGCATTGCCAAGTAGATTCATCACAATGCGTCGGAGAGCGCCAGGTTGTGAGCGTACTATCCAACTGGCCCGTGGTTCAACAATCAGAGACACAGCGACCGAGCCATGAGTGTCTCGGCCCTCGAGAAGAATGCCATCGCTTCCGGGAGTTCTCGCGCCGTTTGCCATGGCACTCTCTGCTTGATCGTAAATTGCAGATCTGCTGATATTACTAGTTTTCCGGAAGGTGTGCCCAGTGCAGACCGTGTCGCAGACTTCTTCTACGAGTTGCGCCACATCGAAATCAGCAGTGACTCCCAGGATAGAGTTGTCGGCTGGAAGTCTCTTCGATCGCCCTTCGCCCCTTTGCTTCTTCTTTGAAGTTGCGTCGCGCAATTTGTTGATCTTGGCGTAGTCGAGAACATGATCAATCGTATCGAGAAGCGTCTTTCCACATGTTTCTATAGAGGAGACCAGTGATTCTTGATAAGCGTTTGCTACCGTATCGCGGAGGAACTCGACTGAGCCGAGAATGCCATGCAGCGGCGAACGCAATTCATGAGAAATAGATGCAATGAATGTGGTTTTGGCGCGGTCGGCCCTTTGCGCACTAAGACGTGCAATCTCACTTGCTATGCTGTTTCCGAAGGCTTGCAGATATGGCAGCTCATTCTCGGGGCTCATGAGCCTTCCCGCTTGAGTAGTCCAAATGAAGCCCCCCGCTACCCACCGTTCAGAGGCAGGATCCCATACTGGTAGAAAGATGAGAGTCCGCACGTTGGGCAGCACTTGGAGGAATTCCATAGGAATAAACCTTTCACGCCTTTTCCTAGACTTCTTGGCCGCTGACGACGACTTGGCGCCCGTGGGCGATGCGGGCATGTTGCGGTCAGACTGGTCAGTTTCGGATTTCTCGGATATTTCATCTGAACTGTTGATGCCAATTCCTTCATCGCTGTAGTTGAAGAACTTGCCAAAAGGATATTTCTGGATATATCTTTCCATGGCAGATTCCGTAAAAGCAAAATCTGTATGAACTAGTGCGGCGATGCCTTCTCGCAATGACAGCCCTGCCACCGGACAAGGTTTTGCGTTGAGCAGCGGATTATCCGTTGCTCGATCTGCTATGATCTCCTCTTGACGCTTCCTGCGCGAGGTCGCCATGGAATCACCGGTATCAATGTCCGAGGTGTTATGTGTTCCGCTCTCATCGCTGCTCCCTACATGTCGGCTGGCTTCATGGAGATGGACTTCAATACTGGCAGCCGATGTGTCGAAAAAGACTACACCATCTGCCTCAGTGCTCTGCCGCATGATGCGAGCTGCTCGTTGAAATACGCGCGTGACGTCCGACTGATGATCAGGTTTACGCTGTGCCTGCTTCTTGGCCGCTTGGATCACGGTGGAAGGCAATTCTTCCTCCTCATCCAAGGTCTGGAGACGGGCATTCTCGGTCTGCTTGTCCATGGTCGAGGGCCTGTTGCCGGCATCGTCACGCGAATCTTGGACAGAAGAACGCTGAATGAACTGCGTCAGGCCACGGACCATACGTTCTCCTTTGCTACGGTCAAGGCTGTCCTTGGCCAGCTCGAGGTGCTCCATGACGGCGGCTGCCACGTCGGCCATGAAGCGCAATTCAGCAGCGCTAATGCCCTCGCGCGGGTGCTCATCAGAAATGGCATAGACGCCGATGCGGTGGCCTGCTTTGGTGACAATGGGCACACCAGCGTAGAATCGAACGCCGGGCTCGCCCTTGACGTAGTCCTTGTCAGCGAAGCGAGGGTCCAGGCGACAGTCGGGAATGACCATGGCTTCCGCCGTGTAGGTGCCGCCATCGGCTTCCTTGGCCGTATACGTGGACGAGAAAGTGTGGTAGCAGACGGCGTCCGTCTTGTTCAAAATGGCGTTTCCCAGCCAGACCTCGTCCTCTGGGTTTTCGGCCGTTGGCGTGAAGAGGGAAAGGGTGCGTGTGGCCTCGGCTAGAATGTACTGGCGGTTCGAGTCGATGAGCGACACCATGGCCCGCCTGGCGTTCAAACGAAGCGTCGCAAGCTGCGCAAAGGCCGTCAGGCTCCTGTCGCGGCCAGCCTCTGGACGGTAGCCCTCGTACGTCAAGCCCTTTTTTCCGCTGCCATCAGCATCGACGAGGCTCTTCGCGTCCAACCAGGGCCTATAATATCTGGCGGACACGGTCGTCAGTTCCCCTCACATAGCAGGATAGACACACACGATTTAGGCGGGTGTACCGACCGATGCAGGTCGCGCTCACGAGCGGCCTCGGGAAATGGTGTGGGCATGGCGACGGGAGGTGGGGGAAGGGAGGGAGGGAGGGTGGTTTTTTTTTTGACTGATGCTATCGCATGACCAGAACCTTATGTGTGTACACAGTCTAGGTACCGGTAAAGGAAATTCTTCTCTGGTAGAATATGAGTGCTGTTCTCAACAGATATCTACAGCGTCAGTGGCAACAAACAAACGCGACATCAGAACGTGTGGCAGCCGCGGAAGACAATCGGATTCTGGACTCGGCAGGCAAATGGAAAGGGCCTGTAGGTCGTATGTACTACCGGTATGCACTCGATTGGCATGGCCTCGATTGGTGTTAGACATGGCTGCCGCCCCCTCCCCTCTGCCCCTCGGGTGGAGACGAAACGGTGTTCTGTGCTCCAACCCCGTCACCGTCTTGCAGAAGGATTCAATTCGCTGTGCACGAGGTCTCGAAACGGCATGGGCCGCTACAGGAGTTGGCGAATCAGGGGGTGTCTGCTGGAGCCGTTGGACAGCGGGTTGCCTGGCTGAGCAAGTGAGCGAGGATAAGGCGGAGACTCTTGGCCTGCGTTCCCCACTGGAAAGGTCTCTGGAATGTGTCAAGTGACGAGTCTGTGTATTGTACTGTACGCACCCAGCACCGGCTGCGACCAAGAAAAGAAGAATGTCTCGTCTCCGAGAATCTTGGGATGACGTGGGCAATCCAATCGAGATTAGGAGAGCAACACGGCACGGTACGATTCAAGTACAAACCTTGGAAGTGCCTAGCTTAGCGGGCGGCCAAGGCTGTTGCCGATCTCCCGTCTTCTGGCCGATGTCCAAGTAACTACACAAGCTTCAATTCTTCAATTCTTCTCTCTAGCCGGTCAGCAACCTTGACCCGCCCGCCCAGGTGAAAAAAAAAGAAAGAAATTGCTATCGCTGCCTCACGTGGCTTGGGCACCATGTTTCACCTCGCGGGAGCACAACGGTAATTCTTTTCTCACCGCCCCGCTGTGTCGGCAAACCTGCATCCTGAGCTGACTGGACACAGTGTACGTCGTGAAGACCTACAGTCGCCGTCATCGTCGCCGCGATCGTCACCTGACCCGGCCTTCGAAGAGCTCCTGCGCGCAAAGATACAGACAGATTTTACGTATACTACCACCAACACTACTGCTACCGATCACGATCTTGCAGACCGCGTCGATGATGCCCCACCTAGCGACGATGACGAGGCTGAACTACGACTCTTCGCCGCGCCCTTGAATGCTCCTCCAACCACCCAAAAGATTCGCCTCTCTTCCCCAGGAGCCCAAGTAGGAGAGCCTAGCATCTTGACCAAAAGGCCCCTGACCTACTACTTCGCCGATGATCCGACAAGCGACGAGGAAGCTACGCTCCAGGTAGCTGCCATAAGCGGGCAGACAGTAATAGAGCTGTCGCGCCAGCCATGGCCGGGTTGCGCACTCCCATGGAAGGTGCGTACGATTTCAGCCACAGGGATGAAGAAGGAGGTCCTGGTCGGCCATCCTCCGACCCTCGTCACGGTAGAGGACAAGGCGCACAAGCGGACACGGAAGAACAAGAAGACGCGCATCGCCATCAGGAAGAAGCTGCAGGCTAGAAAAGAAAAACAGAGCGAGAGAGAGAGGGTGGCGCAAGAGAAAGAAGAGGCAGAAAGAGAGAAGAGAACACGAAGGAACAGGGAGAAGAAGTTGAAGAAGAAGGCAAGAGATCAAGCCAAGAAGGCCGCTGCTGGTGTTGGATCGGGAGATGAAAACGTGGCAGAGTCGGTCACGAACCAAGATTCCCCCGCTGAAGACTGAGGGCAGAACACGAAAAGACCAGCACGCTTTCATACTCGGTCCCTGGATCTCAGTATTTGGTCTTCGCAATCTTGTGGTTTGTGAGGAGGAAATCTTTTCTGTCTTGCTCCATGCTATATCTGGCGACCACGGCTGCCATCACCCTACAAGATGCTTCGTCGTTGCGCAATGGTCGTCGGGCCCCGTAGCCGACGAGGACAAGAGCTTCATTCGAGCCGCCGATGATAAACCCGAGATTCCGCAATGCTAGAAAAGAATGCCAAGAGAACCAAACGACTATGCAAAAAAGATCAGAACATCAATGAGACGGCAGAACACATCCACTCCAACTATTACCTGACCCAGCCACGGTGGCATAAAATCAACACCGAATAGGTATATCGCTGCTTTCGTAGCCCAGCGAGACTTTGTTCCAGGGTCCACCCTCCATTGCTTGAAGATATCCAGCTAGATCTCCGCTGCCGAGTTCGCCCCTCTTGTGAAGAAGAAGCACAACGACAAAGAAGCTCGAGCCGCATATGCTGCAAGCAGCTATTACCCGCCTGTGAACACGCATCGCTGGCCTTGGCCACGCGAAGACAGGGATTGGAACATCTGAACTATTTATTCAGGCGAATTGTCGTTTTGAAGGCTCGAGTACATTGGTGCAATATATGTACTCGAGGAGAAATAAACCAGTCATGGTTTAACCTAGTACTCAGCGCAATGCCAATCCTAGATGTTGGAGGAATAGTATTAAGGCCTTTTTGTTTCCTACGGTATACCCAATATGCCTGACATCAAGTAGAAAACTGAGGCCTAGAAACTCGAGAATACAAAAAGCAACATGCAAAAAATCCAGCAGAAAAACACTCAAATCAACTCGGTTACCCCTGGACTCACATTCGCACTCCAACCGCTCAAACTGCGACTCTCCAATGTCCAATGTCCAATCTCAAAATTCTAATCATTCACTCCCTACACCACACTCCAACAGCTTCGCCATCACGCCCACACGAGTCCCGCCATTTAATCAGTCTCGACTCGCTATTAACCAGGTTCCATCGTATGACGGCTATCCTGTAGCGTACAGTGCTGTAATGTATAACACTCGTCCATATAATTACAACATCGCAATCACCACAGTTCCCCTGTGCGCTGAAACGGCGCTGTAGCTCGTCGGGAAGGGGCGGTGAGGTTGGGGTTTAGATAGTGCTGTTGCTGGTGGTGTTGGTATTGCTGTTGGTGGTGTTGTTGTGGGTGTCCGTGTCCGTGTCCGTGTGGCTGATTGTGGAGTTGTTGTTGCTGATGCTGGTGTGGCTGGTATGGTCCCTGCTGCTGTGGCATTGGCCGTGGTGGTGGTAGTGACTGGTGTGTGAAGGGCGGACTTAGAGATGATTGGGTGAGTGGGTGAGGTTGGGGTTGGTTTTGGTACTGGTGTTGGAGTTGAGGCTGCGGTTGAGTGTAATTCTGATACACAGCCGGGTCGTTAGCATCACCAGCACCAGAAGTCTGAGCGTGAGCGTGGCCTTGCATGTGCGAGTGAGGCGCAAATCCCAGGGTTGGGGTTTGTTGTACCGGTCCCGCAGTGCCCTGGAATCCGTTTGTGAGGCCAGCAGTACCATATGTGCCCATACTCTGCTGTGTGCCTTGTCCAAACCCATAAATCCGAACTGGTTCTTGCACAGCTTGTCCAGCACTAGCAGGATTAGTAGGCCCAGCGACTCCAAAACCACCTCCCACTATCCCCGCAGCGGCATTTGCATTTGCATTTGTACCAGCATTTCCGGCGACCGCACCACCAGCACTCACCTTATCCTGTTTGTCAAACAACGCACATCTCCACGTCCCCTGCCCCAACTTATCCCTCACAAACGCCATCTTCTCTTCCACTCCAGCTGGACACTTGTCTTCACACCCCTCAAACGCCCACACACACGCCCTCCTAACACTCTCCCACATACGCCTCTCCTTCCCCCCAAGCACAGGATTCCCGTGTTCTTGCCGCACGCGCTCAAGCACCGCCATCATGAGTCCCTGAATCCGTGCACAGACTTTGTCTGCGTCTTGGTCGGGCCTAGGGATCAGGATGTACAAGGGTGACGGGTTGGCGGGGCGGATTTTCCGGTTTTGATAGGAGATGCAGATGGGAATGGCAAGGTTGTGGGTTTGGATGGAGGAGGAGGGCGAGGCAGGACCAATGGAGAGGCGGGCGAGGGCTGGGATCCCTTTTCCCAAGACACCGTCAGTGTTGGAACTGCCATTGCGGCTGCTGGTAATGAGGCCGGAAAAGCTGAAGCGTGCGAATGGAGCATCAGCTAGGATGACGGCATGGTGTATAGCTTCTTCGCGGCCGGCAGCTCTGCATTTTTCCTTTGTGTAGCTGGCTTTGTTGATGCAGTCGGTTGCCCAGTGGCGAGCAGTGCTCGCATCGAGATGTTTCTGTACTTGGCGGACGACGTCGCTACCATACCGGCCTTCACTGGCGGCACGCAGGCGGAATGCAAAGGTAATGAGTTCGTCTTGGGCTTTGTGGAGATGGGGACGGGAGAGGGAGGAAGGGAGGAAGGTGTTGATGTAGTAGGCGTGAAAGTACATATAAGTCGCTAGATAGTCGCCTGTGATGGATTGAGAAGATGCATCAAGGAGGACTACGGGAATTCTAAGTCTCTTGGCATACGACTCCAGACGATCAAGGGCAGCGAGTGTGTTTGTGCGGCCAGCGGGCGAGGGTGAGATGCTGTTTGTTAGGTCAAAGGCTCCAGTGATTGTTACGCCAGCGAGGCAAGAACGCAGTGTGGGCGTTGTTCTGGCGATCCATGATAAGAGAAAATGAACCACTGGCCCGTGATGCCACACAATCTTCTTCTTATCCCCGCTCAAATTTCCAAGTTTGAAGACACGCTCGAGGGCGATATTTATACGCTTGATGGTCTTGTCCATGGCTTCTTGTTGGCCACTTAAGATGGTATTGTCCCAGCCACGAACGATGACGATCTTGCCAAAGGAGACAACGGTGCCTTCTAGGTGCATTTTACCATCTGCACCGGTCAGGTACTCGATCAGCTGGCAGACACGCCCAAAGTTGTTTCGGCCTTCCTTCTCTTCGACCAGGATGAACATACTGCCATCCTGCGACTCGACACCCTTTTGTTTGCGCACACCGAGGTCACATATTTTGGCGACTACGGAGGTCAGTTGTAGAAGGTTGTCGATGTCCGAGTCTGTCTCCCATAGATGGAGCACATCGGGGTTGCAGATCGTTTCGAGGGTAGCTTTGGATGCGCTGGCGATGGAGGGTTTGTACTGATCCGGCATCGACTGCACAGATTTCTTCAAGCTCTCAAGGTCCCTTGACCACGGCCCATTGAAACAAATCATCCTGTAGTGATCCCTAAAAGTGTGAGGTTGGAGATGACCCCGCTTGGGGCGATGATATAACTTCTTGCGAGGGCGAGGATGTGAGAAGTGCGAATCGCTCTGTGTGTGGCTAGTGGAAAAGTGATTCAGTAAGCGATGGAAATGATTTTTTGTGGATGTGTGGTGGTCAGCGTCGGGTCACTGCTGTTACCTAGAAAAGTGCGGTGGTCATGGCTTGGCGCTTCACTCTGGTGTGAAGTGTGCGGTTCGACCAAACAAAACAAAACGTGAATTAGATGATACGTGTACTTTGGAAACTTGACAAAGATTTACAAGAACACATCTAAATGTAGAGTCGGAGTCAGATATGAGAGCCGTGGAGGTGTCAAATTATACCGAAATGTGAAGTGAGAATGAGGTGAATGTGAAGACGCTGCATGTGAGCTGTTGATGACCAAATGGCAAACCTGACCTTCGATGACTGTTCGACCTTGAACAACCCCACGTTCCCCAAAACGCCATGTGAAGCATACAAAGCTATTTGCCAATGCCACCACCATACTCGACGACTGTTTCCTTGTCGAGCTTCTCTATTTTCCTACTAAGTAGAGCACGCAATTCAGGACTAATGACCTTCACTTCACCCGACTGCTCTTCCCCTACTTGTTTGCCGTTGTCTGTACCTGAAGCGGCGCCTTGTTCATTCGATGAGGAGGACTTGGGGCTTGTGCTAGGACCTGAGCCTGGTCCGGACACCAGTGCAGCAGCTAGTTTGCGTTGCCTTGCTTGTGGTGCTGATGGGAAGTTGCCCTTCTTATCGATGGTCTCAACTGTTCGCTGGAACCTTTTAAAGAGGGACTCGGCGCGGACAAGAGTTGACTCGAGGTCTATGGTGCCTGAGAGCTCGTTTACTATGAGATGTCAGCCTCAGTGTTGTTTTCAGTATAACGATTCCAAAGCTTACCATATTTCAGCACCTCATCGAAGTGCTTTAGATGAGCCATGATTATATCTCGATGCTTTTCCAGGATAGCAAGTGCAATGAAGATGTGGAAGTTACTACTATAGTAATCGGTCCATAATGACTCCCACAGCCGTAGAACATCTGGCCACTCGAATTCTCGCTTGTACCAGACAAGTAACATTCGGAAGAAGAAGAAAAAATTTGTAGATTCAGCAGACTGGAGATGGAGGTACAGCTTAGGATCCATGATCTGAACTAGGTGGTCCAGTGTGGTGAGTTGCATGCGCATACCAGACTGGTTTCGCAGGAAGTTTCGCTCCTACTATAAAGTCAGTTTCTATTCCTTGGTCACAGTTCTTCGTCCACACTGACCATTCGATCCATGAAACAGACAAAACCCCAGAACGCGACTGCATCGTCTTGCATGACTGCATAGATGGGTGCAAGTAGATCACTCATGCCTTGTACGTAGCCAAGGTCTTTGTTGTATTCATTGTACGTGAGAAGCATGTCCTTCAACTGCTCAAGATGGACATTGGTGCCAACATCAGAAAACGGCGAGTCGGGCTCAGGATGCGGAATATCTTCGCCTGCGAAGATTGGAATATTGCGATCGGTTCGGTGCACATCCTTTTCTACACAACGAACCCCATAGAATTGGGAAAAGTCAGCCAAGATGTTCAGAAAGACGACTTGCGTGGTAACACGAACCTATCCTGTTCTTCTGCTCCCTCCACCACTCTTCTTGCTCCTCGTTCTGGTTGCCTTCGACCATCCGTTCCCACCATGCACCCTTGAGTCTGATGTATTCGTCTCGTCGGCTGTTGATGTTTGCGCGTCGTTCTTCCTCTGAGCTGTCCCACTCGTAGACTCCAAGCAGGAACAACCACGCCTCCTTGCGTACGCCATCGTCCGGATCCAGACCACCGTGAAAGATGCGATCCTTGACCTCATCTGGGGTCAGCTGTAATCGGCCTTTGGTGTCGAAAAATCCTTTCCACTCGGATAAAGTTACAGGCTTCCGGCGATCAGCCATGGTCATCTTATCCATGTCCAAAATCTCAAAGTCGCCCAATTCGCCTTGTTCCATGGCCAGAACATCCTTTGCAGTCCATATTCGTTGATTTCGATCGCGTTCGCTTTGTTCGGCAATGCCCATAGCCCACCTTGCCAAATATAGCCGTGCGCTGTCGAACTCTTCTTGTAGGGTCTGAACTTCTGGATTCTGGATGAGGCGTCTCACCTGTGGCGGCACCTTTGGATTGTCGGCCACAGCTTGAGCCGTCCTCCTGGTGAAGGTTGTGACCTGACTCAGCTTCTCCAAGAAATTCCATCTTGCTTCTTTGAGCGCTTTGGTAACAGGATCCATGCCACCATCCCTCTTTCCCGCTTGCTGCGAGGAAGAAGCTTCACCAGATTTCCCTTCGGCGCTCCTTCGTTTCACAGCGTCCTTGCCAAAGGATCGCTTGTCTTCTTCGGTTGGGTCAATCAGGTAGATGCTAGGGTCGGCTCCAGATCGTTCCACGGTGACGTATCTCTTGAGCCATCTCAAAACCTCATCGCCGCCCCAGAACATACCTCCGCCATCCCCAAATGGATCAAAACTTTCCTTTGCCAGCTTCTTCCTCTGCATGATGGTAGACTGACATTCACTGTCATGAAAGAATAATGCTGGGAAGCTGTCGCCGGCCTTGGTATTGACTACCACACTTCCAAACCACCATCCAATACTTGGTGGTCGTACCAGTAAAGAATAAATTTCGCTGACTGGCAGCGCAAATGCATATCCGGGCGTCACACTGTGTGTCGATGTGGTGGGCGGTGGCGGTACGAGGTATGACTGCTTTGGTGGAGATGACGAGTCTGAGAGATCCACTTTCACATAGGTGTCGTATGCGTCCCCGAGGCTGGACTCGGGAACCCAGGCTAGCAGCAGCGAGGACGCGTTGAGGCTTCGTGCAGATGACGAGGAGGCGGGGCGTGCATCGTTGGAGTTTTTGGCAGACTTCTGCTGCACGAGGGCTACGAAGCCTGGGATATTGTCTCTGGAAGAAGGCGATGGGTGGACATAGACCTGCACATATCAGACGTCGTTCACGCCACTCGGGGTCGAGAGAAGGATGGAATTACTTTGCTTTTGGTGTACAGTAGCTTTACGCCCTTGCCACTGCTTGTGTGTCTGATGGTGTTGTATTCGCCCTCTTCATCATCACTAAGGTCATAGAAGCTGGCGGAGGGCGACGGGGGGGTCTGCGCCGAAGTAGCCATGCGGGGCAAGACAATCAATCACTCCCAGTTGCAGTAATGCGCGATGGCAGTGTAGCTCGATCAAAGACAATCTACGTGCTGGAGACTCAGAGTGGTTAGGAGTATTGGCACGAACACACAGAAATAAGTAGGAAGTTTGTCAATAATCAGGTGGACAGGACTCGCCCTTCTTTGGCCGGCGCAACTCGTTACAGGTGACGACGGGATGTTTAAGAGCTGGGAGCTAGTCGGCAGCGTATGACGTTGGGCTGTGGCTGTGCGAGGGGGGTTTGCGGCGCGACGGCGGCGACAAACCACGGAGCTTGTTTCGGGAGCAAATATGGTCCGCAACAGTCTAGAGGGAGTCACTGCCAGTATCTTATGAATTTGTTTGATTTCGCCAATGTGAAGCTGAGTAGCAACTCTGCAGGTCGGTTACCCTGCCCAAACACATGGTAGACGCCGTTCCACGCCGCAGGCCCCCAGCATGCAATGCCAGCAAATGCAATAAACTCCCCCCATGCGCCCGATGATATTAAATACCTAGTAGTTATATGTGAATATTGATCACCGCATGCGCGGTCCACTGGGCAGACCGACGCGCCCGCCTTGCGGCCCGCGCTGAGGGGCGCCGCCGCCATATCCTCCGCCCCCTTGGGCAGCGTATGGGTCTTCGTTTCCAGTCCAAGGCGAGTTCGCAGACATTCCGCCTTGCTGTCTCCCACCGCCACCGCCACCGCCACTGCTTCCATAGCTGTTGCTGCGCTCGTCAAGATGGGGTGCTCGCCCGCCTTGTGAGCCTCGTTGCTCGTATGGACTGCGCGCGCCTGAGGGAGCCGTGCTGACTGACTCCTGAGAGTTGGTTCGTGCGGCTGGGCTGGTTGACCTCCCGGAGCCCCATAGCCTGGCCTTGAGCCTTTCCTGCGCTGACGTTCCCCCTCCTGAGCTTGGTGGTGGTGATGCATCGGTCGATGAGTTTCCTCCAAGCGAACTCTGATAGCTCCCAGCCCTCTGGCTTGGTAGTGGCCTGCCCAATGACTGTGGTTCTGGTGTGAGGGAGTTGCCCATGCCCGGGCGATTGTAGCCAGCGCCTCGTCCGCCAGGTCCTCGGCGCAGCGACTGAGGTTGTGGCGGCTGCTGTGGCGCCGGGTTATCCCAGAGATCGCTCAATCCTCCCCCGCGACCCATGGGCCCTCCTGGTTGTCCTTGCTGGCGACCAGACGATGACGCGAATTGGACGGGTGCTGCTTGCGGGGCTTTTGGGTCGGGGGGTAGCCATGGCGGGAATGGCCTGCCTTTTTCTGTGTAGTATGCGCGGAGAACTCGAGAGAGGTGCGAGTCGTCTTCTGTGTCGCCGTCTGTTTCGCTAGAGAGGAGCTCGCGCCGAAGGTTGTTATATCGTGATGTCGTGTTCGTGAGGAGATTGTTTAGGTAGGACGACATGGCGCTGTAAGGAGCCCTCTCGGCCTAGGCAATGTGTCTGTCGGGCGACGGCCGTCAATCTTGTCGCGCCTCGACGTCGTAGTGCTTGGCGGAGTCGAGTGTTGGAGTGGATTGCGCGCGCGTGGGGTCGCTCCAACGTTGACCCTACACTTATGTGCGTTGCCGGCCCTTTTTAACCGCTCCTGCGTCTATTCTTGGCACTTGCTTCACGCTAACGGACTTGCTGGTCGGCGGGTGTCTCGCACTCCTTCCCCATGCCCCGTCGCCCTCCGTATCCTTGTCGCAACTACATGCTCATCTACATAGATAGGTAATGCTCTTCACTAAACACGCCTTTTTTCCCTGGCGTTTATCAGACACACTGTCGAGGGCTATCTTCTGAATGTTCTTTCAGCTAGACGATCGATTCACGGCAGCTACCGCACATCGCCTCGCTGGAACAATGCTATTCAAGCTCGAAAAGTAAAAAGACCAAAGAGGACATTTGATCGCATATCCTGTCCTTAACTATATACCCCTACTCCCCAAGGCACTACTTCTTGCCATATGCACACTTCTTGCCCCGCAGGATGAAATCCATCCAGACAAGTCACGGGTCATGTCCACTAGGTACCGCCTCAAGCTGCGTTACCTACACCAACACAAGTTACTGCCAACGCTCGGTCGACATGCACCGATTGCTGACCGTTGAATTCATCAATAGTATGAACGCTGCATTTCATTCGTTCCAGCATCCCTATTTGGAACTTCGTGCGAGTTTCCACGTACAAAGCACAGAGGATGGGAACATTTTTTTAGTACCATCACTCCTTGTCCTCTCCTACAAGGCAGGTTATGAGACAGCAAATTTCGGTCGCACCGAGTGTACCACGATTCTTGGTAATCCGTATTAGCTTCGTGGGAGACAGCATGCATAAAAAACCCGAAGCCCGCGGAACGGGGCGTCCGATCCCAGTCATCATCTTTTGGCTAGTCGTACATGCGGAAGAATAGACAGGCATAAAGATTGAAAGATTCCATTGTAAAATCTGAATCATTCTTTGTTAAAGCACACAATACATACGCCTCTTTCCGGTTCTAAAGGTTGGCTGGCTTGGCTTTGGCTTTGGCTTTGGCAGACAATGCCAGAGTCTACGCTATCCATTGTCTCGATCTACATAACCGAATCATGTCTTCATACTACGGGCGAGTAACAAAGTACATGTCAGGATACCTTTTATTCTTTGTCTTGGTATATGTGGTCCTCTACAGTGTATACATTAAGTACAGATCGCCAATGTCCAGGGGTCGTCAAGCAACATTCAAGTCATCTTCAGACGTCAAGAAACATCCAACTCATCTTCAAAATTCAATACAACTTACCCTAATAATCCGAAACCCAACAAGCTAATCAACGATGCCTCCTTCAACCCGAAGTGGTACACGAGGAAATCAGCCAGCCTTTCAGCTGAAGTCTGAGCTTCAGCGACAACATGATAACTACGTACGACTCTTGACTGTTTTGAGCACTGAAGCCTCAAAAAATGGACACTGACAATTTATAGGGCCAAAAATTGAACACCTCATGGCCCGTGGACGAGCTGAGAGATGACCAGGGCCCGCGAGGGTTCACTCGCCCTGGTGCCATGGGAAGTGCATCTCACATGAACCATCACAATGCTGTATACCAGTCTCTAATGCATCTCCCAATATTCGTCAACTGGGTTCGCACCCATGATCCCGATTGCCCTTTGGAGAACTGCCACACATGCCATCTCAAGGACATCACGAATCTCTATTGGGGCCATGACACTGCTCCGACCGTGCCAATCCCCTATGCGGAACCAGCTGTCATGGCCATCCGTCGTACAGCTCGGCGACACGGTAACAACCACACGAGTCCACAACGGTTCTACTCGTGGCTTACTAGGTTGGACAACCTGCGAGATCCTCTCAACGCATCGTGGAATCATGAGGCAGCGGCACTTTTCGAGCTTGTCCTCAATGAAACTAGGACATGTCAAGCATGCAATCGTACGCATACCGCTCGCCGTAACGAGCAGATGTTGGAAGTTGACTACGACTCGAGATACCACGCGCGTCTCGAGGACATGGTCACCAACTTCTTCAGGGCGTACAATATAACACAATACTGCCCAACCTGTGACGATGAAAACAACATGGACGTTTCACGTACCATTGAGGCTGCCCCTCAGGTTCTGAGGATCAGTGTAAATATCTACAAGAACGGCGGGAAGCAAAGCGAAGCTTTTATCATTCCAGAGAACCTCCAGCTAGTGAATTCTCAAAGGATGAATGCACTTCCATTATCGTATACGCTTAGTAGTTCGATTGCACATGGTGGTCTTGGAAATGCGGAGAGGATGGATACGCGTCAAGATGTTGAAGAGCTCGAACTTGATCGCCAAGAGGAGGAGGTTCGAAGCCCAATGCATGGTTTCCACCACGATTCATATGGAGAAGATGTAGTTATGCAGGACATGAGCGACGACATTGACAAGGAAGAATTGGCTTCCCAACTTGGGCCGATGGACCGAAGGAAGTATTTCAAGGGCTTGAAGGAGGCTACTGAAGAGCAGATTCAAGAGGAGTTGGGGCTGCAATCAGATTCGGATGGCGAGGAGTGCAGTGGTGTTGTGGATCCTATGCTGCTTTTCGACGGGCCAAGACAGCAGATTAGTCCTAAGATCTTCCTGAGGCGAATGTACGATGATTCCTCTGAGCCAGAGTCCGTGGATTCCGAGATGGAAAGTGTACACTCATTTGCTCCAAATTTGGACATAGATGATGATGTGAACATTGATCCTGTCAGACCAGATCCCCCCAATTGGGGAAGAGCTCCGGTTCCCCCGTTGCCCGGCGGTCTTCCGGCTCTAGTCCTACCTCCTCGTGACGAAAATGAAGGGGCTGATATTCAGGGAGATCTTCCTCTTGATATATTTAGGGGGGGTAGGGTGGTTCACAATGACGCTGCCGACGACCCCGAAAACCCTCGCATCACCTTGACCATTCCAATCCGATACAGAAGTGAAAGAGCACCCGGGAACATAGAGTCGTTTTTGGACGCATCCTATCAAATTGATGTCAATCAGAATCTCGTAATTGACCATGGCGGCGACGAGGAAGATGTCCCGCGTTTTGACGACAGGACCATAGTCGTCGTTGTGAATGGCCAGCCAGCAATCATGCTGTTCAACAACAACCCCATTGTCGATACCGATGGGCCGATAGACTTTGACCTGGTCACAGAAGTGATTTACATTGAGGGAGACGCTTACCCGACCGTCACCCAGGACCAACACCGCGATCCGGCCCTTTACCTTGTAATTTATGGGCCTACTAGGAATGGACGCAATTATGTCAGGAGGATAGATATGGATCCCGAGAATCGAAATGGATTTGGAGATGACGATCCGAATGAACCGGAAGATGACGATCCTAACCCTGGTCCGGATTCCTGGGTAATCAACATTAATCTTCGGTACGACTTTCTCGAAGCACCAAGAGATCCATTACCATGGCAAATAGTAGCCACCCGTGTTGAAGTCTGGGATGATGGCAACGAGTATCAAACTTTCGTCATCGTTCTCAACGGCCAACAACGCATCATGCTTTACAATAGCAACCCTGATGTTGATCCCAATGACGATGTGGACCTCGAGACAGCTACCCAGATTATTTATATCAATGGACAAGTCCAACTCTTCGAGGAAGCGGAAAGAATCGAGGTAACCGTTCCACGACGTGACGGGCCTCCCAATTTCGTGCTAATGCCTGCTCGAGCACGCGAGAATGGGTCTCTCGATAGCGGAGAGGAGCAGTCTAGAGATGGGGAAGAAGAGGATGGTATCCTACAATTCGAAATCAGCGGCAGAACCGAGGACGAAGATGAACAGGAATGGAATCCCTCGCAGCAATTACAGCAGCTGTACGATCGCGCGTACGGATCTCGTCGCGGAAACCGGGACAGTCCGTACACGACCATTGCGATTGTCAACAGGGAAGACCAAGCATTGCTCCTCTACAACACTAACCCCGCCATTGATTTCGAAGATGAGGTGTATGTACAAGATGTCACCGAGGTGATTATGATTGAAGGGCATGTCACCAACATCCGACGCATTCCCTTTTATGACGAAAACGGAGAGCAAGTCCTCGACAGAGCGACTGTGAGATTTGGAGTGCAGTTTTATCCTCCAAGCAGCCGAGCAAATACGCCAAATGTGCCTCCTCCTGCTCCTGCTCCTTCTCCTCCGCCACCACCACCACCAGCCTCGATTTCACCACCCCGGGTCCCCCACAGCCCAATTAGCTTGGGTTCCGCCTCACTATCCTCTTCGCCCCGCCTCCCACTACCCACACCATCACCCATCCTATCCGAAACCCCAACCGTCTCCTCCTCCTCCTCCTCCTCCTCATCCCACACCACACGCAGCGACAACTTCTCCCACTACATCGCCTCGACCCGTGGCTACGCCCCCCGACGCCCCGCCACAGCCCCGCAATTCCACCACATTGCCGACGAGCACAGCGCCCGCATTGCTCATGACCAGTTGGCTGGGAACCCGCAGCGTGTTGGGCAGGACGATGCGTGTCCCGTGCCGCCAGAGGATGGCGAGTTTCAGGTTGTGGTGTTGACGTATACGAGGGATAAGTTGAGGGGTAGGATGGGCAAGTTGGAGAGGTTGATTCCGGATATGTTGTGATTTTGTGTTTTTACTTGTTTC